TTGTTCACTCTGTGTTTTCCTATAAACTTAGTCCAATGGGTGTAAATAACGATCTGTAATGTAATTGATCAAATGTTGTAAATTTATGTTAAAACACGTTGTGTAAAATACAAATTTCATTCGAATAAGTACCAAAAATACAAAAAGTACACTTGCATTTTTAATGTCTTTCGCTTACTTTTAAAAGTCAACTTGATATGCCTTAAGAGAAATAGTCATAACGTCGACTATGAAACAAACCATTACGATTACTTCAATACTTTTTAGAATGTCCATGAGTGCACGCCGACAATACTTTGTACACATTGGGACCATTTTTACGCCTATTTGATTGGCACAAAAATAACAGCAGCTGCTTTTTGTAAATTTAAATTTGCGTAAGAATGCTGCAAACGCCAGCCCATTAATCCTAAATATGTCAAATAATCCCCGCGCTTATCTCTGTGGAGGGTGTAACACGGTGCGATTGGCAACGACAACGTTCAGCGATGTAACTTTTTCAACCTGGTGGCCTTAAGGTCTTTGTTTAAATCACCCATCTCCTCTATTGCGGGATAGAGAGTCAAGTTTTGGTGACAAATATTTTTAACAAGTTCAACTAAACAAAATTGGAAAGATTATTTTGAAGCAGGTGTTTGGAACATTTATTGTGACGACCGATTCAGGTCGCACAGGTTTGACTACTTTAAGTCTAAGGAAAGCAATGATAAAGGTTATTTTTCTCGTTGGCTTTTTGTCATTTATTCTTTTTCTTATCTGAAGGCTTAATGAAGTTATTGTCCGGTCTTAGCACTCTTTTTTTTTTTTTTCGGAAAATGCACCCGCTGAGAAGAAATCATCTCTCATTTGAAGAAAAATTTAAATAGAAATCCTTGTTTCCATAACATAAGAAACAATTATGAATATATTTATTATTTATCATAATTGTTTCTTATATTATGGGAACAAGGATTTCTATTTAAATTTCTCGTCAAGCAGAGGTGATTTCTTCTCAGCGGGTGATTGGTATAAACTTCATTCGAAAAGGTAACTTTGACAGTGGTTGTATCTGTTTTAATGGCCCTCATCTCATAGTTTCCATACTTTACTTGTAATCCTACTTCTTTGGGCCAAATGCTGGACCATTCAAAGAGGATACGAAACTGCTGCCGCGCGTTTAGTCAGTGGTCAATTTTCTTGTTGCTTATTTGCTTTGTAACAGTCTTCAGATTATCAAAAGGAGGTTAGTCAAATTCAATTATTAGTGACAGTTAGTAATAATTTGTTTAACTTCTCATGATCAGAACAGAAGTAAATTTTTATACACAAACAAGAAAAACAAATTAGAAAACAAAACACATCAAGAGGATTAGTTTACTGACTTTACGTTATACAGTCGAACCTCCACCAATGGCCACAGCCCTCTACAACGGCCACTTTTGTTTTGTCCCGGAGGACAGGTCATACATTGAATCATATTTAAAACTCTCTACAACGGCAACGGCCACAAAAGAGTGTCTCTAACTGCCAAAATAACCTCTTTACAACGGCCAGTTTCTTCTGCGACTGGTGAAAAAAGCCAAGAATGATCCGTATGGCGCCTTGAGTGTGTCAAGCTAAAAATTTTCGCCAG